TGTCTAGACAGTGTAGAACTTGGAGCTGAACGGAATACAGCACACTCAAGCATTTATGCTTTTTATTATTTCGTTTATTTGAGGATTTATGCAGACTTCTATGATTAATACAAACAAGCTAACATGCGTATCTTTAGATTTCATTTTGCTATAAGTATTAAAATTCTATATATATATATATATATATATTGGCAAAAAAATATTCGCTATGCTACGATCTCAAAGTTTCGAGCTGGAATGAAGAATGAATAACTTCAACGAGCACAGTATCTCCAATGGTATTGTTACTAATTTCTTCACTAGTCGAAATAGTGGCGAAGACGGGTTCGATGTTTGAATGAACTTTTTGTTAAGACAAAACAAAACAGATTTAGCGACAAGCTCCGAAAGACAAGCGGCAGAGATAACTCTTAGTCTGACTAACTAACTTCACTGTACCCCGTTCCCCCTTTTATACAATTTTTCACCACATCTCCAAAATTCTCGAATTGTCTTAAAGACGACAGAACGTCTAGGATTCCAGAATCATCGCGTCAAGACCTCACGAATGACAACCAGTCTCGAAAACTATACTAGCAGGACAAAAAGAAACCAGTCCGTAACAGTATCACGTGAATTTGATTTCAAAAGTACAACCCTATTATAGTAAATGTTTTTTCAGTACTCTGAGAAATACCGTGAGAAAAAAAAGTAGGCATAAGGCTAATAAAAATATATAGTCTGAAAAAATAATAGCTCGCATAATTTCTACGAAATTTTTCTTTTGCCATTTTGTCTGAGCTCAAGGGGGGGGGGGTGTTTAAACCCTTAAACCCCTCCCTTGCGTACGCCACTGAACTAGAGTTTTCCATCCTCGGTAGTTACTTGAATCCCATCCAGCTTCAGTTTGATGGGTCTTATTGAGAAGTAAAGACGATCGGTGCATCATTAACCACATTACAATTATTAAGTTATTTGTTACGATAGTGTGGACCGTTAACCAACATGATCTTCCTGCTTCACAACTGCCTGTTACAGGAAAACTTTTCTTTTTTTACCATATACTAGGATTTTTGTTCATTTTTAATGTGACTCTTTAAGATATTTTGCTCGTAACATAAAAACATTTTTTTGGTCAGTTGATCTTTACCTTTAAAGTTTATGAGTTACATTCCAAGAGTTTTATTCTATTGTTTAATCAATTAACAGCATTGGAGTTTTAAGAGCTCTATAAAAAATCTTTCTGGGCTCGCAAGTTGAGACGATGAAAACATTTGGCAGTAATTTGAATAAAATTTACTTAAAAAATGGAAAATTTAATTGTAAAATGTTTAAGATTTTGACGCAATTTATCTCTCACAGTTTTGGATAGCTTTATAAGATTCTGGTAGTCTGAACCAAAACTATTCAATTAGACGAGGAAAAGAAAAATTCTTTTCAAGAATACTTACCAATGAAACGAAATACCAAGCATATTCTCGTCCAGTCATGTGGCTTGCTTCGGCCTGAAATTATAGTTAAATTTTTCAAAATTTTAGAATGAACGTTTTTTTCTTTTTCTTTTTTTGCACTTTGAATGTAACATAGCTGCAAAATTTAAAAAAAAGGAGGAATTGGTGCAAGGTAATTTGATAATTTATTCTAAACTAAATGAGAATGCAAAAAACTCCATGCTTTAAATTTCTTTATACTATTAGCTAATGGAATATTATACTTTCTTTATACTATGAGCTACTATTACATATTATTAGCTACTAAATATTTTTTTTACCCATCTGTAAATTGCTAGTCCATAAATTATGCTTAAATGCTTTTAAAAACTATAAGAATGAAACAAAAAAGGCATGACTTGCTGGGTGACTTGGATTTATTTTAATTATTTTAGGTTATCAGAAGAGACATGGGAAGTAAATACATAAAAATTCAATCTGAGTCGATTTTTTTCATAATTTTTTAAAATTTAAAAACTTACTCACACACTTTAATCTATAGAATGCTGCTATACAAAGATTCTGCCATCATAAAGTATTTCAAGTTCTTTCAAAGCAACTAGTAATCAATTTAAAGATTAAATGCTTCATTTTACAACAATATTAAAGAACAACGCTGTTTTTTTATGAATGTTGGTCAATATAATATATTATAAATTTCTCTTATATATAATATCTAACTTTTTTATTCAGAAATAAAACATCTCTTTTAAAAATCATTGATTAAAATGTTTCATTTTAGATCAAAAACAAGAAAGCTTTAAGAAAAGCTTTAAGAAAAGCTTTTCTAAATGTCTCTCCTGTTTGAAAATGACCCATTTATCTAAGTTTGATTAGCTATAAAGGATTAATACAAAGCTTTTTCACTTACAATTTCTAAGGCATAATTAATTGTATTTGATGGACCAATGACAAAAAAATACGCTGTATCACTACTCTTCATTTTCACTAGTTCTTCCTGAATTTTTTGTCTATCAGGTTTAACCGGAAGAATGTTGGCGCGTGTTGCAATATTTTGAAGAAGTGTTGAAGATTTTTGATCAAGTTCTGAAATAAAATATTAATATTATTAAAGTTTTTGAATTTAATTTTAAAGAAATGTTTTACACACTTTAGAATATTGATTGACAAAAGGTTTTTATGAGTCTGAAAAATCTATTTCATATTGATTGCAAAATTTTTCAAAATTACGTTCCTCTTTGCCAGTAATGTTTCGTTGCATATTTGCTAATTAATTACCTATTACGAGAATTAAATTCAAGACGTGGTGAGAATTAAGTGACTGGTTTCATAACCAGAATGCAGCGAAAGTCCCATTTTTATTTTCAACTATTTTTCTTTAATCGCCTTTTCAAATCGTCACTTATTTTCGGGAACTCGGTAGGGGAGAGTGGGCTCAATTGTAGCATTTTTTATTTAACTATTTTTAACTAACAAAAAATCCAATATATTATTAGTATTAATTGACAGACGAGTAAAGTTGACTATCCTCTACTAGAAAAAAAAACCTTATTTTAAATGTTATTATATTAGTTATTAACAATTTTCGACAGTCGTACACTTGTTACAATTGTCCCCACTTACGGGGTCAATTGTAACAGTTCATAAATTCATCTAAAGCATAGTTAACTATACATATTATCATAGTTGTGATATATATTTTTATTGATCAAAATGGTAGTGATTTTTTAGGAGTAAAAATAATAATGAGCAGAGACCTAAAGGGTTGAACTTTTTACTTTAAAGGGTTAAAAATTTTAATTTATGCTGTGATAGGTGACAAATTAAATAATGCGCATGCAACATAATATAAATGATATAGGAAACCATACTCTCCAACTTATGAGGATTTTAAAAATAATTCTTTCTAGTGGTAGCGAACCAAAGTAGAAATTTTTAAAGCAAATGGATCTCTCATAAAACTTTTATCAGAACTTGAGAATCTAGCCATATGGCCTGCACTTTTATAAGTAATAGTGGACAAGTTACGCTAAAATTAATTTTTTTTAAATATTAAGACATTAATTTTGCTACCGTCTGAAAAGAAGATTTCTGAAACTACGGAAATTCCGTAGCAGTTGGAGGGTATGTATGATGTATGTTTTATGGTAGACAAAAATTGTTTGTTTCTGGAAAGTTATTCCTAAAAATGNTCGTCCCTTTACTTATTGTTACAATCGTCCCCAAGACGCCATTTCAGCTTCATTTGTTAAAAACAATGCTAGTTAATTAACAAAACTAATATTTTATTTTTTTGAAATGTTAATTAAGGTGTCCACTTACATATTCGGTTGATAATTTTTATTTGTTTAAACAAAATTACTTTGTTACAATATAATATTCTAATACCAAAAAAAGTACTTACGTAGCTTGAAAATATCTTTTGTGATGTAACTCTTTCAAAAGTACATAAAAATGGTTGCCAGCTGGGGTGTACATGTAGATTTATTAAATACACCTTGTGCGCCACCTGGGAACCAAATCTAGAACCCGACACTCGAAATTTTTTCTCTGTTACAATTGACCCCACTCTCCCCTACCATTTTATCGTTACAGCATGTTTCGGTTAGCTGTAAGTTTAAAATATTTTTTTTTAATCATGTTTTTAAATAAGGTAGTTTTCAATGAAAAAGATGCTTTTGAAAATCTCTTCCTAATGTTTCTGTACATTCCAAAAAAATATATGAATATTTCACACAATAAAAATGCTCACAAATTATAGAAATATAACCATTTTAATAATAATAAATTATAAAAAAAACTTCCTCACCTATGTTTTCATCAATCAAAACTCCTGTTGTTGTCATATTTTGGTGAGATACTATGTCTCTTACAACTTGTGGTATGATGTATCCTGGTGGCGCAATTTGGACGAGATACTGTTTTTCATTTTCATCCAAGTTTTCCCATCCCATAATTCCTTTCATTTTTCCATAGGTTGCACTAACTGTTGGAATACCTAGTCTACGGACAACCTTCTTTATCAGTGTACCTGCTCGATTACCTATGGATCTTGGTTTTCGTGTTGTATCAATCAAAATAGTAGGATTATTGCTCACTATTTTCTGACAAACTATTAAAAAATAATTGCTACATTTTAGGTCATGCAATTGTAAATTCAAAATGAAAAAAAAATATATATTCATTTACGTACATTGGAAGTGCTGCATCTCTGCGTTTTATACTGTAGCTGTATTGTATGAAGATAAAATAATCATCTTAATTGTACTCGGACGTCGACTCTAGTTTGATACTCTATTCCAAATTTTAAAATTTCTATACCTTAGTATTTGTAATTACTTTATTCTGTTAATATTAATACTATATTAAAAGTAAATAAATAATGAGTTGTGTATTTCAAAATTCATTGGATAAGAGTACTTTGAACGGAAAGACTTAAGGAATTTGTTATGGCGACCCAGGCAAGGAAAGCTCTTCCTCCAGGTGTTTGTCTCATAGCACGAAGCAGTCTCGCCCAGCACGAGCGTCAAGCTATGCAGACACACAGGCACAATGCCCCGAGTAACTCAATGCGGAAAGTGTTACATCAAACTTACGTTCTATCAACCTTTTCTGAATTATTTTTAATTCAAAGTATTGTTTTAAGTTTGTAATTTAAAGTACAATCGAACCTCTATTTAAGGAGGTTGCTAAATCCCGATAATAAGTTCGTTATATGGAAAATTCGTTAAATAGAAAATCGCCTTTTACAATGCTTAAACAACACAAAACAGGTTTTAAATTCATAAACACTAGACATAATTAAAAAATCAATTGATACAGCTTTATCTTGTAAACTAGTATCTACTATTTATTTTATATATCTTAGTCACAAAAGAAATCGACACTGAAAACAAGAATAGAGCAAAACATTAACCAGTGTTACACTATCAGTGTTGCACTTATACATTTTAAACTAAAAACAGCTAAATTTATGCATAAAATTTTGACTGTATTTATTTGCTGTATAAAATTATAACTGCAAAGTAATTTTAAATAGGGAAAGTGGAAGTTGAATAGAGAACCTCTGTAAGTGAGGATGTAAAAAACAAAAAATTCTTTAAGTATAAAGTGTTAAAACTTATTTCTGCACATTTGCTATTCTGGCAAAATTGATTTAGTCAGTACATGGTAATTGAGATAACTTTAATAGTTATTATGTATTATCTACTTTCTTACAATATGTTGACGGTTTAAGCCATTTTTCTGCCATTAAACTAATTTCCCCCTGCACCATTGAAACTAGTGGATTTTTCTTCTTTTTTCGTAAGTGTGTGTAAAATGCATTAAAACCTCATTATTTAACTCAAAAGTGATCTTTTCAATAAAATTCAAAGATATATTAGTATAAAAGTGAATGTGCTTACCTGAAGTTTCTGTTGAACCATCCTGAATTACTACACTTGAATATTGAATATCTATGTCTGGAAATTCTTCTTTTATGTAATAATCAAAAACTTTCTCTACAACATCTTTTGCTATTGGATACTCTTCTTCAAAAACAGCAACTGAAAAGTACTTGCTTGAGCTTGTTTATTCACAATTATCAGAAAAGTATAGAAAATATGCACAAATTTTTTTTTCTTATCAAATTTAGAATAATTTTGAAAGATGAATTAAGTGTAAAAATATTTTGCTGGTTTTGTATTGCTGTTGGAGTGACAAATTTAACTCTGCTTTACGCGAAGTTTACTCGACGTATAATGAACCAATTTCGCTTCGAAGCATAGTGTTGTTGGTCATTTACGTCGCTTTAGGGCTGCACAATGGGCTATTGGCGACGGACTGGGAAACATCCCTGAGGATGATCTGAAGACATGCCATCACAATTTTCATCCTCTGCAGAGGGAATGGCACCCCCTCTCCGGTAGCCACGTGAAGTCGAGCACTTTACGGTAGAACAGTTTTAACGAGGACCCATAACGCACACCCTCAGTCCCTACGCAGACTGATCAAAGTGATCATCCATCCGCACATTGACCGTAGCCAGTGATGCTTGACTTCGGTGATCTGCTGGGAACCGTGTCTTAACGATCAGTCCACTGCGGGACCCGAAGCATAGTGTATTCTCAAATTTTATTTATTTTTCCATCTTAAAAGCAGCTTTTTCCGAATACTTTCGCTTAGCTTAAAGATATTTTCTTTAAATTTTGGTTTATCATGCATGGTAATTATTAAGGTACCTATTGTACTTAATAGTGGTTTAAAAGCATACAATAAAGAAAAAAAAATTAAAATTTTTTTATAGATTTATATAACGATTTCTCTGATTTATATAATTATTTCATGTTAAAAGATTAAATATTAATTATGACTTTTATTTTAAAAGAAGTTTTTGATTTCATCACTTTTAATTAATTGGTTTTGTCATTCAACTATTCTTTTTGACCATTTCTTACTTTTTGTTGCCATCATACGTTTATTATTTATGTAAAGATATAATTTTAATAAAAGGAAGTATAGAATGTTAATAAACGTGGAAAAATGCTAATAAAGAGTGGTAAGTAAGGAAAACTGGAGATACTTAATTCGGATGACTTAAAACTAGAATCATTGTGCACAAATTACAACATGAAAGTTTGATTCAGCTATTTCTGTTTTGCTTGCAAGACTTGTTGAAAGTGTATGCAACAATTACACTGACATGGTTTTATTCTGTAAACTTTATTTTGTTTGTGAGAAGAGAATTTGTGACTTCAGAATTTTATAATCTTTTGAGTAATCTATTTAAACTATTAAATGTAAACTATCAATCTATTAAATGTAACTGAAGTAGCTTTATTTATTGATATAATGATATAATACTACAAACAATATTTATGGGACTGTATTGAACTTTGGGTTATTGACAATTTCAAAAAACTTAATTGCAATCTACGAATTAATTTTATTTCTAGTTACGACTGTAACCAATCAAAAGTATAACTGTAAACTGTAACCCAGCAAAAGTAAACCCAATTAGTATTTTGAATGGTGAAAAAAAATTTCAATACTTAAACTTCTTTCTTTTTATTTTCATTTTTTGAATATAAATTTATTAAACTATTCAAATGAATTTTATTTGGTTTCTATATATTAATAATTAATTACTTGCCTATTATTATTACTCAAAATTATGAGTCAACATAAAAAACATTGCAAATTCAAGTTAATTTAATATCAATCATAAATGGATATTATAATTTATAGTTATTAGCATTAAAAAGTTTTTGCTTTTTGATGACAATACAAATCCTTAAAATTTCCCATATTTAAAATATTCAGTATGTTATGCAACGGTTATCATGAAATTTATATTATTTAGAGAAATCCATTGAATGTTTTCCTATCCATATTGTCAGCTATGTTGCCAGCTAATTTCATTTTGAACATTTTAATTGAAACATTGTCGTCTGATGAAAGATATTAAGACTCTTATTCATTTTAAAAATAAATGATGTTTTAAGAAAATAATAAATGAATAAATAAATAAAAAATTTCGTTAAAAAAATTCAAACGCAGGAAACATCGGATCCTTTAATAATAAGTGAGAACATAAGTGCGAAAAAAATATATATTATTTCCAAAATAAAAACTGAAAAACAGCAAAAAGGATCAGTAGCCCTAGTTTCTTCTTCTGAATCTCAAATGCAGTAAGTAAAGACAATAATTTTAATTCGAAAAGTTGCTTACACTATAAAAAGGTAATACCGATGCATTTCCAAGAAAATATTCTAAAATTTAAGACTTCTTAATACATTGAAAGTTTAACATATCATTAGAATAAATTATGTAAGAAATATAATTTTAAAAACTTTTATGTTATAAGAGATAAATAAGTACAGTTGTAGTTTATAAATTGGAAATACAACTGGCTTGTAAACGTTCTTATTCATGTCACATTTTTTTCTACACCTGTTTTAAATTTCGGATTAGCTTTAAATTTGAATTTTTTTGGTATCCATGACAAATTCAATAAACAGATTTTTCTCCCATCATCGTATGGTAAAAAACTGATAAAAATAAAATTAGAAAGACAATAAATGTGCTTTGAAAATAGTAAAACCATTTTCTGCGAAAAATTTTGAAAATATCTCAACAACTTGGTCAAGGACACTGCATAATTTTACTATTAAAATGTCACCTTTGAGCAAATAATTTGTGTTTAATAACCATCAAATATCACAATTATCTTTATTCATCTGAGATTAATGATCCATAACACGAAAGAATATAAATGAAGTGTGATTTTTGAGTATAAGATATGTTACAGAATGAGATGAACAACGGAATTTTAAAAAACTTAAGAACTTTAGATAGGAAATTACTTTAATAAACTATTTTATCTAAGAAATTACTCCATATTTTATTAATATTAAATTGTCATAAGTAAGAATAAAAAGTTTGCAAGTCAGAGAATCTATTGACAGCTAAAACTTCTAAAAATTATGGTAAAAATAGCGGGTCGTGGACGTTTGTATATTTTTTTGTAAAGTAATAAGCTAATACATGCTAATTTACTCGCATTGCTAACCTTTAAAGTTAAAGAGGTACTGTAAGAAATTTAATTTTACACCTTGGAACAAGGAGGCTATTTAGCATACAGTATTTAATAGTATTTTTGAGCTGAGGTAGCCCAGTGGATCGAGAATCGGACTCCGTTCCGGAGGAGCCGGGATCCGATGCTCGACTCCACTAAGACACACCAAGTACACTCTATAACAAAAAAATCGAAGCACCAAGAAGCAATCATCCGATTGCTTTGAAATTTCGTATGCATGAATGTTTTGAACAGATATGGCTGGAATGATGCCGACTGGGGACGTATAGTCTTTAGCGACAAATCCCGCTTCCAACTGTGTCCTGATGATCATCGAACACGTGTTTGGAGACGCACAGGGCAGAGGGGGGATCCTGTCTTCACTATTGCACGCCACACCGGCCCTCAACAAGGCATTATGGTCTGGGGTGCCATTTCCTTTGACAGCCGGGCCCCTTTGGTCGTCATTAGAGGTACACTTACTGCACAGCGGTATGTCGACGACATCCCAAGACCGGTTTTGCTACCGTTCCTTTTGCAGCGCCCTGGGCTGGTTCCACACATACGGCACGTGTTGCTGTGAACTGTCTGCAAGCTTGTCAAACTCTTCCTTGGCCTGCCAGATCACCAGATCTCTCTCCCATCGAGCATGTCTGGGATATGATGGGAAGGCGATTGCATCTGCCACGGAATTTTGATGACCTCGTTTGACAATTGGATCGAATTTGGCAGGAAATACTGCAAGAGACCATCCGGGAGCTTTATCGGTCTATGCCACGCTGTGTGGCAGCTTGTATCCAGGCTAGAGGCGGATCAACACCTTATTGAACTTGTTACTGTAACTCTGCAATAAATTATTAAATTGTTCTGAAATTTTAATCATTTACTATTCTGTACATTGTCTTCCTATAAACCAATTTTCGTTTCAATCGGACAACTCCTTCTTGGTGCATCGATTTTTTTGTAATAGAGTGTTCCTTTGACAGCCGGATACGTGCTCATAAAATCAGTGGAATCGAAAGTCCTGCGGTCGGTCTCTGAGCAGTATTATGGGTACAGGTATCTGGAGAAAACTTTCTTCTGCTTCAAATCCACGAGGAAGTGACCTCACGAATGAGTGGTGCTGCCATCTTACCGTGAGGTTCTGAGCTAAGACGCACTTCCACCCTTGCGGTGCTTTCTAGTCAAACAAAAGTAGCACCTTCCTGTTTTAATGCGCTAAGGCCAGTGGCTAACGAGCTTGGTTTGTCCAAGAGTCATTAGAAACAACAAACAACATTAGCATTTTTTTCAGTAACAGTCGTAGAAAATGTGATTTACCTCTATGGATAACTCTGTCTTCTACCTGAGTAAATAAAATTGATGATCAAGTTATTGGTTAAAATTGTACGTTCTACTTGGAAAAAAAAATTGGTCACTGTCAACTAACAGTGGCATAGTTTGATCCATATTGAGATGTAAGATGTAAATTGAATTGGCATAACTATTGGCATTACTAATGAAAAATTCATAAAAAATGATAAACATGTGTTTTTAGACCTGAAAGTTTTGTTGTTTCGAGAATAAGATAACAATTATTTAAAAATAGTGCTACGTGAAGGAAAAAATTTTACCCTATTTCAAACAACTGCTTTTAAATAAAATAATTTTTGTGAAATTTCCAAATTTTTAAAAATTAGCATCATAATCCCTTTAGTGAACACGGTTTATTTTTAGAGCCAGTTCTAAAAATAAATCATGGATGCATTGGTCATTATTGGCATAACTGATTTTCTCCTTTAATTCTATTTATTTTTTCAATTTATATTAAAATTTTATTCGTCTTTCCTTTCTCAAATAGTATAACAGCTACACTTTTTTTTCTTCAGTGTAAACAGGTAATGAATTTTCAATTAATAGAAGGGTGACTGAATGTAAGCTTCTTAAAACCGGTAGAAGTATAAAAAATTTCCGATGTATCTTTCCGCATATGTTACGCTTACTTAGTGT